AGCTTTGCGTTACGGGGATGTCGAGTTCGTTCAAGATCTGGGCGACTTGAAGACGTTGGGGCTCGCGGAAGTTATGAAACGGTTCGGCCATGAAGTCGCTGCAAATACCCATCAGGGACAAGCAGCACTTGGTCGCTTTGATGTACTTCGAGGCGTACTTGCCGATCTCGTACACTTGCTGAAAGTCTTGGATGCGTTGATGCAGTTCGGCCAGCTTGGTCGCGTCGCCACTTCGTTGGGCTTCGTAGCAGTCAACAAAAAGCCGCGGCGTGACGTTCGCTCCGCCAGCCACCGAACCATCGCCACCCAGCTGCATCGCCTCCGGCAGTTTCGCCTCAGGGCCGATCATCACCGACCAGTCCGGTCGAATCGCTTTCAGCTTGGCAGCTTGCTCGAAGTAGTTCAAGTCGCCGCTGCTATCTTTCAAGCCCACGATGTTTTCCAGCTCGGTCAGCTGCTTGAGGGTCTCTTGCTCGAACCAGACCTTCGTCAACTGCGGCATGTTGTACAGCATCAGCGGCAGCGGAAGTTTGGCGTTGATGTTGCGAATGTAACTGAGCAGTTCCGTTTGCCCTGCCGGAAAATAATATGGCGTTGTCAGCACCACGGCTGCGGCTCCGGCATCCGCCGCATGTTGGGCCAATGCCACCGACTCGACAAACGCCGTATCGGTGATGCCAACCAACACAGGCACGCGGCCATCGGTTTGTTGGCAGACCGCGTCGATCATTTCGCGTCGCAGCCGATAACTTAAGCTCGGAGCTTCCCCGGTACTGCCGAGAATAAAAAGCCCATGCACGCCCCCGTCGATCACATGTTCGACCAGCCGCGAAAGGCCTTCCCGGTCAAGCTCGTCACGACCCAGTAAAGGAGTCACCAGCGGCGGAATGATGCCATGATACGTTTGCGTCGTCGAATTCACCAAGTTGTCCCTTGTAGGATGGATCGAACAGCCAGCGGCCGAACGGTTTTTTGTTGTTTACGTTGCGTCGGTGTCGTCTTCACGTGGAGGCGAACCGAAGAGGCTGGCCACCGCCCAGCCGACCAACAAGATGGTAAGCGTTCCGAACACAATGGTCAGATAGCCATCGAAGGGGCTCGCCGCCACCGAAAGACTTTCCGGCCAGAAGTTGGTACGAGAAAGCGTCATCCACAAAATGGTGACGACTCCTAGCAGCACGCCCAAAATCGCGGCCGGGTTGCCGGCTTTGCGAGAGAGCATGCCGAGCAGAAATAGCCCCAGCATGCCGCCGCTGAAGATGCCGGCCAACTGCCACCACGCGTCGAGAATGCTCTTCACTTGAATCATCGCGATGGCGGTCGTCGTTCCGATCAAACCCCAAGCAATCGTACTGACATACAGCACCACCATCGAGCGTTTCTCGGACGCTTCGGGATCGATAAAGCGGCGATAGAAATCGGTCAACGTCAGCGTGGCGGCACCGTTCAAGCTGGTCGAAAGGGTACTCATCGCCGCGGCAAAAATGGCAGCGACCAACAAGCCTGACACACCGGTCGGAAGGCCAGCGACAATAAAGTACGGAAAGACACCATCCCCTTTGCCTTCGGCAATTTGGGCCTGAAGAGATTCGGGGAGCAGCTCCGGTTGAACCGTGTAGTATGCGAACAACGCCGTTCCGATCCAGATAAACACAATCGAAATTGGAACGTAAATCAGCGCACCCAGCCAGACCGACTTGCGGGCCTCACTATCCGATTTGGCGGCAATGTAACGCTGAACGTAGCTTTGATCGATGCCGAAGTTTTGTAGATTGATAAACATGCCATAGACCAGGACGACCCAAAACGTCGGCTCGGCCAGGCTGAGATGGAACGAGCCGAGGCTGAATTTGCCGTGACTGTTGGCCACTTCCATCATCTGGGCAGGACCATCCGGCATGCCCAGCGGAAGCATGATCGCACATGCGACGGCACCGACGGCAAGCACGATACTTTGCAGCGCGTCGGTCCAGATCACTCCTTCGATGCCACCCAGCAGCGTGTATAGAGTCGTCAAGCCACCGGTGACGATAATCAGCGCCGGCACGTTCCAGCCGAGCAACTGATGCAGCGGCAGCGCGAGCAAATACATGACCGAGCCCATCCGCGCGATTTGCGTTAGCAGATAACATGTCGCAGCATAGGTTCGAGCCCAAACGCCGAAACGCTTTTCTAAGTGCTGATAAGCGGAGACTGCATCGCCTTGGCGGTAATACGGCACGAACCAGGTCGTCGCAATCCATGCGGCCAGCGGCAACGATAAGCTGAAAGCCAACGCATTCCAGTCGCTCGAATAAGCTTTGCCAGGCAATGCCAGAAAGCTGATACTACTGACGTAGGTCCCAAAGATCGACAGACCAACGACCCAACCGGGCATGGAACGACTGGCAGCCATGTACCCTTCCGGGTTTCGACTGCGACGAAAGAACCAAACCCCAAGCCCCACGACTCCCACCAAATAAATCACGAGCACGGCGACGTCGGCTGCGGCAAATTGGTGCACGGGGACAACTCCTTGGGGCGGGGAGCCAGGCGAGGCGATGAGGATGATGGCGTGTTGGAATACCACTGGTATCCCAGCAGTATGAACGCCCCGAGAACGCATCGCAAGTCCTGAATTGATTCTTC